TTCTTATTTGATGTGCTGCTCGCTCTGCTTCACTTAAAAATACATCAGAGGTCGGCCCGTGGAACACAAACCGAGACAGAAGCAGACAAATAAAACTGGCAACAGCAGAACTTCATTTGGTCCAATTTGTTAGAAACTCACCCAGGTGGGAGGTGACCTGTCCTGTTCCAGAGAACATGTCTGCCTATTAGGAATCACATCACTGCTTGTCTCTTCTTGTTGCAGAATAGGCAGGTAAATGGGCCATTGCTGTAAGGCAGACTGGAAGATAGATGGTCCGGTACTAAGGTGTGTTTTCAAATCTCAGTGGAGGCTGAAAATTCATATGAAATGTAGTGGAGCTGACTCTTGATTCTTATTCCTCACTCTTCAGGATTTAAAAAGAAAAAGAAGGTACAAGTCGCTTTGATTTTCAAGTTGCAAACAACCGTTGAGAAGATGTACCATGTGGAAAGTGCCATTTCAGTTTTAGGTTCAATACAAATAGTTGACACATGATCTGCTTGGACATTTATCTAACTTAATCTCAATGATAGAGTTTTTTATAATGGTTACACTTTACATCAAATACTGAATTAAACTATATCATCACACATTAAGGACACAAGCTATGTTGATGTGCTGGTTTCCTTTGTGAGCAATGCAGCATGTCCTTCATCTAAGATTCGATTACAGTGCAGAATAGTTTTTGTTTGGACCAGAGAAGTAATATTGTTTAAGCAAGCCCAACACAGCCGTTTTGCCCACCGCCCCTTGGTTTGCAAACGGCAAACCAACAGGTGTTGCAGTGATGGAAGTGGGCAAGCGAACTGGTTCAGATATACCTGATTCTACCCGACATCAAAAGACATTTTTCAAATATCCTCCATTACCAGAAACGTGACAAAACTAGGATAAATATTGGAGATGCTTTAGAAAGATGGAGAGAAGTTAGAACGCCAAAATGTTTCAAGACCGATGCAGAGCTGGAGAAAGTGAAGCTTCGGTGTCTGGGTCATACCCATTTTCAACTCTAGGTGTCAGTAACATATTGGTCCTCCAATGTTTATCTATATCTCATTATCTGGCAAATACATTGCAATAAAGCATTATCTAAGTATTTTTCCATTAAACAAATATGTATTTTCTCTTCCCGTAAAACGTTTCCAATGTCTGATGACTCATCATGATCTCAGGGGCCTTTATTGATTTTCGACCGATTTCAAGTTCCTGTGAAACTGAATTTCAGCTAAACCTAAAACTCTCCGAAAAAAGTTGAACACAAAAACAGACTGATAAACCTTCAGTGATTTTTTTTTTCTCTGTAAAACAGTGATGGGGTGGAACTTGAACTAACCCAGATAGGAGACATCTGAGCCAGCTGAGCCCTCTGACCAGACGAGAGAGAGAAGACGCTCAGGGAGAGCTGTGCTGAGCTCCACTCTGACCTGTCTGGGTGTGAAAGTCCAATGAGAAAGTCCAGAGCCAGCATCAGGTTTCAACATCATGTGTTGAAATGTTGTTGGGTGGGGGTGGGGGTGGGGGGGTCATACGAGTCCAACACAGAAATTAATACAACACATGTAGGGTTCAGGCCACATGAGCACAGTCCAGATATTTTCCCCTTCCTATATAAATATCCCCACTGCGGAACAGCAACTGGTTGATCAATCTGTCTTAGTGCACAACCCCACTTCTGCCAACTCTTCATACCAGCCTCCTGGGTCCTCCTAACTATCCCCAAACACTCGTCTGGAAGATCTGAATCCATTCAAAGTCAGAAGATACTAAATGCCTCTGACTTGAGATGGGTCACATCACAGGGATAATGTCTCTCCTGGGGAAGACACTGCTCGCTAAAGGAATGTTTTACTACGGTCCAAAAATATATTCTCAGCTCAGTTTTCATTTGTCTGAGCATGCAGCACGCAAGCTGCACGCACTGCTTGAGGCGAATGGAGTCATGTTGGCTGAAACAGTACAGCTGGCTAGTAAATACTGGCTGACACTAAGTGTGTCAACCATCGGAGGAAATCATTCACAAATGATCGCCGGCTGAGACAGCAACATGCACAAGACAGACAGGGAGAAGTGAAACTTGACAAGGAAGCTCAAGCAGGGGTGTCATGAAATATGTATGCCAACATGACGTTGCATGGAGCTGAGCTGCTCCATCTTTTCTTAGCAGACTAGAATTCCTGACAGCGAAGACAAAAAGTGCAGTCTGGAGGCAAAGTACAGAGACTCGTAAAAGGGAGCGCTAATGAGCCCCAGTCATGCTTAAGCGTGATGTAAGCTGCAACTAATCATTTCATTGATCCAACAATCATTAAGTCTATAAAGTGTACAGACAAATGTGGACGATCCGCAAATGCCCTTCAAAATGCTAAAAGCGCAAGACACATTTTGTTAAAATGTTAAATCCTCACATTTTGGATAGAAAACATTTGGCAATGTTTACTTAAAAGACATAAATGATTCATGTTTAAGCCAATAAGCGGATTAAGTTTTGGCTGACTTTTTTTTTGCATTCAGTGTGCTCTCTAGAAACAGTTTAATGAGGGACAGATCTCACCATCTAAAGCTTCTATTGTCTGTTTGCTGTATTGGAAGTTGTGCTGACTAATTATGTTTCAGCAAGCTTTGGTTGAATGCAACCAAAAGTAGTCCACGTGGAGGGCAACACAGATGGGACACATTAGAAGAAATGGAATCTTAAAGCCCTTTCCGGAGTGCTTTTATTGCTAAAGCGCCGTAAACTAAGCTACGCCATCATCACGACTTTTTAAAGTCATCTCGATTCCGCGAAGGTGTAATATTGGTGTCCCAGTCTGCGAATTCACATTGCGTTTGGGCGTTGCAGAAACACGGCACAGCGAGAGCTCCACATAAAGAAATACACGCTAACACAGCGCTGCGCTCCATCTCGCGTATGTAATCCCTCTGTTACAGGAATTGGATCACTTTGTCCACCCCATTCCCCCCAGTACATTCAGATTGAAGGCGAAACGTTACAGGGGCGTAAATATTGCGGCTTGATCAGGCCTTTAGGAACTCTTGGCTTTGTCTGACGATGATTAGCTTTTAATTAGCCTTGTCCATTCATTTCATCCAGTGTCTCCAGTTAAGCCGTTGATTCCGTTTCTAAATTTCAAAGACAATGTTGAATCTCAATTTGCTAAGGATGGAATAAAAAGTCTTGGTCTGAATATTAGGGTTGGGAATCACAGGGTAACTCAAGATACAATACACAACATGTGGTCTGCCATTCGGCGATAATTGATACGACGCAAGACATCTTACAAACTAAAGAATGCAAAATGCACCTAAGGAGGTGAAGAGTAGGATAAATATATTATTCACTGCAATTTGGTGTCATTTTAACCTCTTATCAGGCTTCCTTCCTTAGCTTCTTTTAACCGCTATCTGACATGATCCTGCTGTTTTCTTCTTCTTTTATTCCCTTGTCAACTTCTTCTTCTTCTTCTTTGGCAACTAAACTTCTGTTCACGTTACCATCATTCATAAGCGCCACCGTGTGGAGTTATTAAGTGGTGACGCGTTGAGTCTTGCTGCCAAAGAAATCTCCCCCGTCTTTTAAATTGAAATATCAATATTTGGCAATTTAGATAATTATACCATACGAGCCAGGACAACAATACATCGCCCCATCTTTATCCAGTATCCTTTCTTTTTTTTTTTGCACTGTATAAATGAAGACAATATATTGGCTGTCATACCCAGTGACTAAATTGTCGTTTTATGATTGCCAATTCAGTCTGAGATTGCATGGAGTCGACCATTACCCTGCAGGTCAAACCAATTGATTAGTCTTTACACCTTCCTCTTTATCTACAGTCTGAACTACTCCAATAAAGGTACGTTTCATGCCAAATGAGATTAACTAAAGAAAACACAAAAAAAATGACCTGGAAAAGGTGGTTTTCCATGAGGCTGAACCCATGGGAAGCAACAGATCAAGGCCAACGTCTGATATATATCTTGTGTGGATGAATTAAGATGCCTTCTTGATGCCTGGATTTCACTTTTAGACATTTGCCCTGGCTGGTAATTAATTCCCTGGATTTCTCTGTGGGAGGGCATGACTGGCAGTGTGTTTGGATGCAAATCAGAAAGCGCCTCCACTCCGTTTCTCCAGTCTCCGCTGTTGTACACAGAGTCCTCACCTAGGGCATTTAACACTGGTGACTGAGATGTCATGAGCTATAGCCCCAAGGGTCACAGTTTGAGAGACAAACACCCTCTTACATCACTTTTGAACATCTTCCCAGAGCTCTTCTTAAGCAGCTTTTTTGCATGTGTTGCCTGTATGTCGTAATCACACACACAAAAAAACAGTAGTTTACTGTTTTCCCCCCCCAAAAAAATCTACTCTCCTCTTTACAATGTGACTTTTATTCTATGTTTTGCCACTAAAATAACCGTGGAGTTCATCCATAATTCAAACCCTGAAGTATGTTTGAAGTGTCTTGACAAAGTGAAGTTTGCTTCAAGCGCCTGCAAAAACGCCTCAAGTGCTACCACTGATTACCGAGAGGAGTTTCAGCATCATCAATTATAAAGCATCTCCTCTCCTCTGAGGTAGATTGGCTGCCAGCTTCAAATTCTTAAGTTCTGCGTTTTTGAAGAGAGACATATGTTGGAGAGAACTGCAGATTTACATGTGTAAGGAAAGCTTGTGTAGACTGGAGATGATTCATTCTGTCCAAACATGTGTTACAGATCTGTAGGGATGGTGTACTAACAGAGGATTTCATTTAACATAAAACAGAAGTCTGGTACTAACAAATGCTTTCATATAACATGCACCCAAAAGGCTAAAGGAGAGACATCATTTAGGATGTGCAGAATAGAAAGAAAGGAGGACAGAATAAACACGTTGCAGGGAGCATACAATTAATGCACATTTAAAGGTTAAGCTTTTTCTTCATGTTTCCAATTGTTATTTGTCTGAAATTCCTACTTTTAAGCATGGACCTTTTTAAATTGATACATCTTACCTTCCGTGGGTTGGGAGAGCTCGCTGTCACACAGCGACACAGTGACAGATAAAGCCTGAAGTGCTGTCAAAATAAACTTCAGACTCCGGCACCCGGGATTCATGATGCCCGGCTGAAGCGTGGACAGGACTGACCAACTGTTTCACTGCTGCACGACCATCATACAACCGGGACAGTCCTCCAACAGCTGATGTGCAAGAACCCCCCCTCCAAACACACACACACACACACACACACACACACACACACACACACACACACACACAAAAAAAAAAAACACTTCCTGAAATATGATCAAGTCAATGAGGGGTGCTTTTAGGAAATCCCGACGACAGCTGATTCAGCTCCTTGCACTTTCCCCATTCAGAGGTGTCCGAGTCAGAAGCTGCCTCGCGCAAGAAGAAAAAAAAAGTGTTTAAAGTGAAGTAGATCGCGAGCGATGAGAACATTAAGAAATTCACAAACCGCTGCTGTCTCATCGCCCACTGGAATGACATCAATTCCAGAGCAATTACTGAGGAGAGAAGTGTTGTCTTATGAGTGGGGACCATGTGCTTCAAAGCAGCGCTCCGCCAGGTCCTAAAGCCGCCTCTCGCGCTCAAAGAACTAGTATCAAAGAGCTGCCGCGAACAAGCCGCGAACAAGTTCCGTTTTGTTCCTTCAGAATAAAGTCATGTAAAAATCATGAAATGCACCTTTGAAATCATAAGCCCAATAATGACAACATGTACACTAACAATAAAAAATAAATAATAATAATTTAAATAGAGGATGTGTTCAACCGGATTTTAGATCAAATAAATTAACTTGAAATAGTGAAGTATTTTTCTATTGCCCTGTAGCCCATCAACTTAAAGCAAGGACGAAGAGTTTTAAGCTGATATTAAAACAGACTGAAATTAATACAGATGCCTCTATATGACCTACATGAGCAAATAAGACCATAAACAACAAACGTCAAAGATTGATTGTGAGTTGCACAATAGACATTTGACATAAATAAAGATTTAAAAAAATGTAACACTTACTGTACAGGTGTACAGGAAGAGATCAGCAAAGAGGTAAGACAATATAAAGATAAAAAAATAATAATTATAGATTGAGTGGTCAAGTTTATATATAACTTCAGAAATAATAGTTTGACCCATAAAACGTTGGCTTAAAATTGTTTCCAGAGATACCAAACTATAAACATGAGTTGCAGGTGTTGATCACCTTTGGATCATAAAAAATAAAATCCAAATTTGCTTGGTCTCACTTCTCAGATATGAGAATTTGCAGCTGTATTTGTTTCACACTATTGCAAAATAGTCATTTGAACTATTTTGATTAGTTTCAGACTGATGTGTCAGTTAGAGCAAACAACCAGACCTTGCACAGTCAGTAATTAGATCAACTTCAGGAAGAACTGACTATTTAGTCAGATAACAGATATTTGCACACTATTCAGCCTTACAGAAATCAATTTTAACCTTTAAACCACAGATTTGAAATCTGGCCTGAAAGGTGCAGCACAACAAAAAAAAAAAAAAAATAGTGTTTTATTTTGAAAACAAACCAGTTAACTTCCGGATCCATCCATACTGTCCTTCATTGAACTTTATCTAAAGGGCTTAGGGCACACACTCTACTGTAGCGGCCCACACTGGGTGTACATTTGAATAATATAGCCTTGGCAGCAGTGACTCATAGATATCATGCTGTTCTGTTAGACAGTGAAAGCAGCATTGTGTGAAAGAAATGCAGAAAATCCAAATGAGTCTTTTTCTTCATGTAAAGAGCTCCAAAGATTGGACAACCTTTCTTTACTTGAACAACTGTATTATAGTGACAGCTAGTCACTCATGCCTGAACACGTAATCAAGTCAAAGTGATGTGTTCAAAGGGATAATACATGCCCCCCCCCCCCCCCCCCACATATGAACCCATTAAAAGGCCATGACTCAGCTCAATTATGCCCTTCAGTGTGTGAGCTACACTTTACACTGCACCACATGTCCATCTACCTCAGAGGAGAAAGCAGGCAGATGTCCGCTTGCAGTGTCTGGAGGCTTTTTCTCTATCAACAGGGGGAAGTACAGAAATTCTCCCAGCTTAGAACTTTAAGGTCATAGCAGCCGGTCCAATCGCAGCCTTACCCTGTTTAAAATACATAGGATATATAGGTTGATGTCTGGTGTCAAGATGCTTAGAAAATTCAATTTCTAAAAAGTCTTCTCCCTGGATCAAATACGACTGTAAACAAAAGGAGTATTTCTCTGCATGTCGATGTTGCTGGGACTCAGTTATAGGACGTTTCAAAGAGCTGATCTTTTGCTCTTTTTTTTTAAGAACCGGGGAGATGCTTGGAGGAAGCAGATAAGATGCAGAGCGGAGCAGGGAGGGAAATGTGCCTTTTTGGTTTGTGTGCAAGGGCAGATATAGTGCTTAGAAAAAACTCCAAGTTTTTCTATCCACCCTCCGTTATGATATCGATGCGGTTTGGAATAAACACAACACAAGAGACTGAAGACACATTTCGCATAAGGGGGGGAATTCTTTTTTTCTTTTTAAATATAAAATGCACACATCAATTCAAATAAAACAAATATACAGAGCTAAGTTCTCTTTTATTTTTTACGTGACATTGCTATGCTTATAAGAGAAAAACAATAAGGACTGCCATCCGACATTAAATAACCATTTTCAAGCCTCAGTAATGTGTTGTTTTACTTTATAGTACAAAAATGTCTAATTTAAGATAGAAAGAAAAGATGTATGAACCATCAATTATAAACACTTTCATACCATCCAAAACACACACACGCACACAACTTGAAATACAATTTAAAGAACAGTCGTTATCTGTCATCTGTCGGCCAATGACATCAGTGCAAATTTAGATGGATGATGGAACAGCTGGACTATGAAATAACTCCAAATGAAAGGCTAACGAGTAAAAAAAACAAAAAACAATCAAGAATACTGACAACAATGACTGCTCCGTTTTCTATTGTTCCACAAATAAATATTCACACATCTCACTTTTGATTTACGCCTAGTTCCATCTTATTTTAAAGCTTCACTCTGAGGACAGGATCAGAGGGCACACATCTAAATCTGCAATGACAGGCTCTGGTCCATCATAGACAAAGACAGAGACAAAAGCTCCTTTCAAATCAGCTCTCTCCAATAACGGGGCATTTCCAGTGAGCAGGGGTCACATTCCTCCATCTTGCAGCTAATAGCTGGCAGAGAGTGATGGCAAAGCCCACTTCAGGGCTTCCTCCTGCTCTGTGCTTGTGTAATGAGAACGGCAGTTGTAGACTGTCCTGGATGAGACCCTGTGAGGCATAATGAATGATTCTGTCTTATATCACTGCTTCACATCACATGAGATCATGTGAAATTGGCTGCATGAGGACATCAGTGCGGTATCATGCAGCGAGGGGTTACTCTGCATCTCATTATGGGAAGTATTCTGGAAAGAAAAAGGCAATTTGCAATCAAGTGAAAACCAGATAACGCAGATAAACAGCATACGTTACCGGTTTTAGATGTTGTCACCAAAGAAAAGGGTTCGGACAGTGCGCTCGAATTGATATGAGATTACACAAAGGCAGGATGTTAAGACATGATTTCATTCAGTGCATTGTGTTTGATCATCTTCATTCGTAATTGCAAACCAAAAAGGCAGCCAGGACAGCTGAGTCCCAGAGATAAGCGTCAGTTTTTCCCCAAAGATGAATTTCTCAGAAACCATTTAACAAAAAACTATCTGATGGTAATTTGACAATCTGTGAGGACTGTTTTGCCTAAAGCCATCAGAATATTCTATTTTTTTTATCCAGATGGGCAGAAATGTCTTTCGAAGGTTCTGAGAAAACCTTCAAAACAGTGCAAAGTTGTTGTTGTCGCATAAACTTTTGAGTTTTTTTGAAAGAGTACCTCGGATTTGTCAATCGGAAAAAAACAGATGTCAAGCTCCGTAACTTGAATATATAATGCTTGTAAATGGGAGGAATAAACAAGGCTGAAGAAGAAGAAAAAAAGCCACAGATGCAGATGTTTCAGTTCATTTTCAGGGACGTCAAAGGTCAATGTTCACTTTTACCATCAGCAACTGCTTCTGTTGTCAATCATTCAGCAGTTGTCCCTCTGAAGAATTCGATTCAACAGCTTCTGCAATGAGGGAAAAAAAAGATGATAACGACAGAATAGAGACAGAATAGAGTAATATCACACTGCAGGCTGTGCCTTTTTACTGAATATACAGTAAGCATGGCTGGTATTATCTTATAGGCGCTTGGCTTGAATCCCTGGGCCAGTTTACCATATAACAGCAGTGCAGATATTCAGTAGCTTAGCACGACCTAGAGCATGATATTGCCTTAATACGACAGTACTAAAGACAGAATACAGCTGTTAAAATCAGGTTACTATTTTCTGTTTAATTAAACACACACTCTGCCTCTGCATCAACACACCTAATGCCAACATGGTGCTGGCAGTAACTGGACTGTTGCCAAGCAACACATAAAAAACTGTCAGACAAGCTACTTTGTCGTTTGTGAATTTATCTTGTGTTTCTATTTAAATGTAACCATCTGGTCGCAGTTGCTTCGGTTGCCGTGGTGACTCTATGGTCCTAGATTTTACTGTTGACAGTCATTCAATTAAATCATTCATTTCTGTTTGTACAGAGCAAATCAATAGCAAATGTTATATAAAGACACTTAACAAAAAAACAGGTCTAGTGGCAGAGGCAAAATAATCTTCTTCACTGTAGTACTTTATATTACTGGCTTCTACAAGATGATGCTGTTGCCTGTACTCTGATTGGACAGTACTCTTGTCCAATCACATTTCTTGGTCCGAACTGTTGTATAAATCTATTCAGAACAGTTGAGGGGGAGTGATACACGCAGTTAAAAGTCCCAGTTCTGTTGAACTTATGGAATGCCTCTTGTCCAATCAGATTGCTTGGTTGTAACTAATGTTTTATAATGATGCGTGTGGCTTTTTTGCAAGCACATACATTCGTTCATCAGCTTCAGGTTGGAATCGAACCATCTTGTACAGAAAACACGATGGTGACTTGGTCCCTGCCGCCCATTGGCAGGGTCATAATTTCCAGCTCCCCTTTCAGGACCTGCTTGATCTCTGGCATGGTCCTCCCTCTCCCCTGTGTTATCTGCCACAGCAGCAGTGTGGGTTGAGCAGCTGTGTGCGGGCACCCCCACACTGTCTGCAGCTCGGCTGAATGGTGGCACGGCACTGTAGCCGTCTCTGCCACTGAAGGGCCTTTGTTTCAAGAGGAACACAGGCCTCATACACTCAGCACAATGACACCGTTCACAGTTTCTCTCCATAATGAGAGAGAGAATGTGTGCTGCAGAGAGAGCTACTGAAATTCCTCCAGGAAATTAAACCCAGTTTTGTATCTGGCGTTAATTGTTGACTCTGCAATAAACAATAACTAAAAGAACCAACTGGACATGCTGGAAAAGCATCTGAAGAGTACTGTCCCCCCCCCCTAAAAAAAACCCACCCTTTCTAATCCAACCCGTGAAAGCGCAGCAAAAAATAACAAAAGTTTGGTAACAGCGTCCTCTGGTGGATGGATACATACATTGCTCTAAAAGCAAATACAAGCTGAAAAGATCCCACAATGGTTTAAATACATACTTTTATGGGACTTGTTTTGGAAATACTCTGATATTTAATCTGTCATGTCGGTGTGTGTTTTTGTCAAGGGAAACTCTCATAAGTACAGAAGCCCTTAGTCAAAGTAACATCTACAGTAGAAGTTACAAAAGGACAAAAATATGTTTTTACGAGTTTATACCAGGTTAAAAATCCAATCCAACCTGTGGCTCCTTTCCCACATGTTCTTCCCCTCTCTCTCTACCCCTGGTTTCTGACTCTATCCACTGCCTTGTCTCTAAACAAAGAATAGAAAGCCCTCGAAATAAAATTAATTATTTTTTAAAAAAGATAGTAATGAGAGATAACTTGCAAACACAGGCAGTAAGTATAGCTTGTCCACTAACACTGGAGAACAACACAGAGAACATGACTGTAATTTTGAGTCATTTTAGTCAGATACAGCCAGAACACTCCACGTTGTGTTTTCCGTGCTAGTGCTTGTGCATGAACTGCACTGTGCTGAAGCACACTTCTTCCAACATGCAGGTTAAGCATGCTTAGGCACAGTATGGATTGCCTAGTGTGAGTGTGCCTTAAGGGTACATGACGACTTTTTCCAAATCTTGAACTGTTCATGACACCTGTCATAAAGTCATAAAGATGGATCACCAGATTTGTTTTCTCCCTTGCCTCACAGGGTACTGATGTAGGCCTTTGATCTTTGCTGATTTGATAATGAATAATAAATATGAAGTTGTATTTAATGTGCTGTATGGAAAAGAATGCAGTTTCAATCACAATACTGAACATAAGGTGGAGAAACACAGGCCGGATACTCAATAAAAATGTGAATTCCTACTTTTTAAATTCCGAGTAAATGGTCAAAACAGAGTAATATGAAAGGGGATACAGACTCTCATTATTAATAGTTTAACAGAGAATCTATGTCAGCCTTGTCGCCAGTTATTCACTGTATTTTCTAAGGCCAACAGCCTGTCAGCCTAAACAAAATCCAGAAATAATATTTGCATTCATCCTGCTCATTTTTTCCTGCACGGTTTAGCTTCTTTTCGACATCCTTCAAGTTTCACCTCATATGTCCTTCTCAACGCCTGTCTTTTCAGTGAACCATAATGGAGTCCAAAGTTGATTTCAAGCCATTATTTTCAACAGCTGCACTGCTGTGAAGGCAGGAACAGCGGCATTATTTCTACAGCCATTTAGTGTAAGCCATTACTGCAAAATGTCTCAACCTTTGCGAGGTTTAATTGAGCTTGTAAGAGAAAGGTGTGTGTTATTACTTGCTCAATTGCGTGTGGGTCATATACACAATTAATGTTCTGTTCAGTGTCTCAGGCTTGTTAAGTACTTGTTAACACTGGGGCAAGCTGTTTCAGGTTATCTGCTGTAATTCTATTGGGATTTGATTTTAGCTTTTTGTTTTCTGCATTCAAGAATTTATGAAAGATGTTCTGTAATCGTGTCATTGACCTTTTATCATGTTTTATTCTTCATACTTCGCCCTTAAAATACAGTTTTCTCTGTTTTATTCTAACAGTTAAATGTAAAATGCACCATTTTTTTTTTTTACTTTTAAATAATTTACTCAAATGTTAATCATGGAGTTGTCTTTTGCATCATTCTATTCATAATCCCCCAAGATGTTGCCTGATAAAATTGACAGCATTGGAAATGTTGACACCAGAAGAAGTCAATTATTCGGGTTAAAACTGCGTCTGAATAAAAGTTAGGGACTTTCCTGAGTGTAAAAATGGTAAATGGACTTCAGTGACTCTGTAGTGAGACCATCAGAAGTAACTTATTCCAGTCATACGCTGCCGGAAAAGCAGCGGGAGTAATTCAGGGTTAAATGTCTTGCCCAAGGACACCCTGGACATGTTGCTGCAGGAGCTGGGGATCGAACCCACAACCTTCCAGTTGATAGACGACGACAACTCTACCAGCTTAGCCACAGCTGCCCATTTTTATATATATATATACATATATATATATATATATATATATATATATATATATATATATCTCTCTCTCTCTCTCTCTCTCTCTCTCTATAATAAAACATAAAGACGTTACCTTTTTGAAAAGTTCAGCCCGCTGTTTGTTGCTCAAAACCGCCTCCCTTTTCTTCTCTTCCTCTTTTTTCCTCTTCACCTCTGTAGTCGTTCTGTAACAGAATCATCATTGAATGTATTTTATGGGTGTTGGTCAAGATGCTGATAAAGAAAAAATAGAATAAAAGGTAGATTTTGAAACATATGTACCGACATGTAAGCATCTATTGAAATTTAAAAAAATCATTGCCAATCAAGAATTGAGTCACCTATAGTTCAATGTACACTGACTGTATATGCATTATATGTAGAAGTACGATACTCTGGGGCGCCGGAGTGGTTAGTGTGTGCACCCCATGCCTATGTCAAGCGGTCCGGGTTCAAATCCAACCTGTGGCTCCTTCCTTGCATGATATTCCCCACTCTCTCTCTCTCTCTCTCCCTGATTTCTGACTCTATCAACTGTCCTACCGCTAAAAGAATAAATAAGTACTATACTCTATGATTCAGGCAATAAACACCTGAGTCTTGTATTTTCTCCTATCAATAAGTGGATTTGTGAGAAAGCAAAGTGAGGCGAGGTAAAAAAAACATAATTGGAGTGAAAGTCCTGTCAGACAAACAAGAGCAGCTTGTTTTGTATGGAGATGTCACACTGATACCGGCTCTGCCTTCACTTGTGAAGAAATACAAGAGATAAGAATGAATCCGTCTACAAAGGAGAAGCCTCTGACAGCGTGCCAAGATGGAGATTGAGATGGAACTCACCGCTTAGATCTGGGCTGCATCTCTTTCCCGGTAATGGCTCTATCTCTGGCTTTGAAAAGGTTATCTGGAAAACAAGAGCATGTACACACACATTGGAAAAAACACACACAAACACACACAAACACACACACACACACACACACACACACACACACACACACTCAGATAGACAATGCTGATTGAGTACAAGGCTATAACATACAGGCAGCAGTAGATCACTGAAGCTTTTTCCTGGTGTTTGAAGAGGTTGAAAGCTTCCTCTTTTACAAAAACTCCTACAGTCTCAAGAATGTTTCTAAAAGGACATTAATAACACTCCTCTAATAGTTTCACAAGTAATATCTATTATGGAAGAACACTGAATTTTCCATAAACATTAATACAAGCTCATCATATTGTTTAATTCTGATTAAACAAATCCACCAGTAGAGGGCAGATAGAGCTACAAAAATCTCTCTCTCACATATCTTGATATTCTTTATTATTTAGAGTGAAGGCACAGTGTCTGAATGGAAATCTCATCAGACTGAACACTGCGCAGAGAGCTTAATGACATTTGAAGGTCAGATAAATATTTCTGCTGCTGCTGCTGCAATCCAAAGCTGAAGCTTGCAATCATTCAGAAACCTTGTTATTCAAAAGAGGAACAGTTCAATAAACTATATATAGAGTAAAGCTGTTTGTTCCAAATCAGACTTGTTTATTGTGTTTAGTCACAGCTTGTCTCAGCGCTCTAGTGTTCTGTCTAAGCACATAAATAGTTTAGATGATATATCAGACTGAAGATGTCCTTTAATTCATTTTAAATACCAGTCTCAGGGTGTTACATCTAATATAAAATACACCCTTTTTTGGTGGTAATATGTTATCTAATCTATTCAATTTACCACTGTTTTTATATCAAAACAATTGAACATACTGCCTTCAATTACAAATGGCAAGCTCTCTCTGTTTTCAAAAGGAGATTCTTTTTAACCTGGTTTTCTATTTAGTGTGATTGTATAGCCTAAGTCAAAATTGTTATCACCGTTTTTGAGGAGCCTTGTCTCTGGTGTTTATGTTGACGTCATGAAGCTTTTGCTTTCTTTTATGTATTCGTATTTGTACAAGAACAGATTTTGATATTTTACTGGTCTGAAATTTGTTAAGCATATGTGGTTTGACGAAATCTACAAAAAAAAAAGCCTATTGGAGCCATACACTTACTTATTCATAGTTATATTATTTAAAAAGACCCAACATTAATCAATCGTGAGCACTTAGCAACATTTAGCAAAGTCACAGCGGCCTTGCCTGTGCCTTCAAGAGGCAGAAACTTTGAGCAAAACCAAACTCATGTTGAACAGCCATTTGCCATTCAAGCAAAATATGAGTGTGAAAATGTTATATAATGCATGAGCCTTGATAAAACAACACATATTTGCTGAAACAGCTCCCCTTACTCTTTGTTCTGTGTCTGTATGTGTGTGATTGTTCATGTGGCAAATGGCCACTGCAGCTGCAATAGGACAATAGGCAGTACAGTAGATGAAAGAGGTGAGGATAGCTGTTGGCACCATACCCTTCATAGAGGTGGACCGGGCACTGGGGGCTCTCCTCTGCCTGGGAGCAGCATCAGACTGTAGACCTCTTGAATCTGCCAGCTCCTTTCTCTCCTGTGACCTCCGCTCCAGTTCTTGCATTCTGCCCTGAGAACGACTGATGAAGTCCGGTCTGGACCTCTGCAGTGCTTCCTGCCAAAAACCAGAAACAGATTTCTCTTTTTGACAAAACATTTAAGCTCAACCACCCCTTTTCAACATTTCAAACCCAAGTGGCCCTAGAATATAGCCCTGGGGTATTCCATGGTAAACTTAAAAGTCAGTGAAATAAATTTGTCTTGCCCTTTTGCTGACACAGTAGAGTATTTTAGAAGGCACTAGTCTGGGGTTGAAAAATACCCAAAGGAGGTTAAGATTAAACCTGAGGGCTCAGATAATTCAGTACATACAAGTTTAACAGAAAATAACTTAAAGCTTGTGTGAGGAATTTTTCACTTTCAATGAAACAGCCCAAAATGAATACTGATGTATCATTATTCACTATTAAAGTAATCAAGACTATCATAATAAAGATTGAATATTTTTGTGTGGTTATTAATAGTGCCTGAAACTTAAGCCATGGGGGAGGTGTCAGATGCAGCCTTTTTAAACATTTACCACAGCAGAACATGTTTGTGAGTTTGACTGTTTAAAGATAGCAGGATAAAAAAAACACTACATAAACATGTACAGGATAAAACCATCAAATAGATCATGGGTACCAGTTGGTCTACAAGGCACCTAAATCGACACAAAATTAAAGATCCTCACAGAAGGTTTTAATGTCCATTTTCCAACTTTTCTCCAGTATATATCTGAGTTTAACCTCCTTATTCTCCAAAATGAAAATTATATAATAAGAGAGGAACATCATCCAATAGTTATACTTTCGACTAAGCTTTAGCAAGTAGAAACCATAATTAGGACGTATGTTACCAAGTAACATATGCCAAGTAGTATGAGTATGTCTAATTCGTTTATAAGCTAAAATATACCTCTGAACATACCTGTAGAGAAATAGTTTCAGGTGACCTTTTAGGCTCCAGACTCAATTGAACAAATGCATCATGAGTCTGGTTGTGGTGCTGGACTGGGCTTTGATCTGGACGTGGCTCCATACATGTCTCCTTATCTGTCACTAAAAAAGGTAGAGAAAGCAAAGTGTCTACATTTCAGTTAAACCAGGCTTCTTGAACCTCTGGGCCTGCTATGACATAATACTTTTTTGTGCGAGTCTAATAAGCAGCCAAAGAGTTTTCCTGTATCCTTATCGATTCAGTCAAGGATGCAGCCCAGGAAAAAACAAAGTGTGGAGCTTGCAATATTTTTGGCTAATTGTAACAAAGATCAATATTTCATACAGCGAGAAATGATGACTACATAAGAGGGAAAGAGAGAAATAATAATAATACCCGTATTCCCCTGAGGTGATGCCGTGGAGTCCTTCTCTGTATTTCCATTTGGTGTTTTCTTCCTACTGAGTTGTCTTTGGAGTTTGATATTTGCGATGATGGCAGCTGCATTGAGGGCAAGCACTTCCTCTGGAGACTGAGTTGAGTCGGGATCTGAAAAGCGAGAGGACTTTGATGTTGCTGAGGAGTTACTAAAATAGTGACACTGGCTGATATTGAGCCACCATTAGACTGCTGCACACCACAGGCAGATTTAACTCCAATCTCAGAGGATGACTGTAGAAAACATTGAAATCAAGGAATGCTGGCTAAAGCCCTTCTGATAAACTGATGATGGTAATACATGTGATTAGGAATTATTGTGAATTTCACACTGAGAAATGTCATTATGAATAAAGAAACAAAACCTTCCACACATAACTAATGCACTTGAATCCTCAGTATCCTCAGTGTGTGTTTCACATGAACATGAATATCCTCAACACTTACCTAACAAGCCATCCATCCATTATCTATACGGCTTTTCCCACTCAAGGTCACGGTGGGGCTGCAGCCGATCCCAGCTCTCATTGGGCGAGAGGCTGTGTACACCCTGGACTGTACACCAATCAATCACAGGGCTGACATATAGACAGACAACCAGCCACACTCACATTCACATCTATACGGACAATTTAGAGTCACCAATTGACCTAACGAGCATGTCTCTGGACAGTGGGAGGAAGCCGGAGTACCCAGAGAGAACCCTCGCATGCACGGGAGAACATGTAAATTCCAGACAGAGAGGGGATTCGAACAATTAACCTCCTCGCTGTGAGGTAACAGCGCTAACCACTGCACCATCGTGCAGCCACTAACAAACCATACCACATTTAAAAACAAAAGCTCACCTTACAAAAAAACACATAACTTTGAGGGAATCAATTTTTGTCCCTGTTCCTGACAATTTGAACAGGGGGAACAGATTTTCTATCCTCACAACACAATTCCTACAAGTATTACACCCAAATCTCAAAGCTTCCTCATTGGATTCTGACGCCTAAATTGATTGTAGCACACTTCTCCTGTGATTTCACCATGTTTAGCAGCTTGTGATTTCTCTTCCTCTCATGTGCTGTCAGTGAAATGTGGGACTAGAATAGATTATGCATGCAAAGGGGTGCGTGGGAGAATGAAAGAAGGTAAAAATGAGAAAGTGTCTATGTGCCAATGGGGGCCTCTGCGGCTAGGTGATGCTATTTGACACTGTTGCAGATATTAAGAGTGAGTGTCAAACACACTCAAGGCTGTAGACAGAGGAAGGACAATGCAATCCAATTAGGCCTATCAATAAGACATCAAAGGTGAAAGACACATTAAACCTGAGAGTTTGGCCCCAGAACCCCAGTGTGTGTTATAACTTCAAGCAAAAGACACACAAACGGCACAAGGGAAGGGTATATTTAGACATTGCCATCCTTTGAAAATGGAGATCAGAGACAAAGGGAGCCTGTGTGCTGACAGGAAAACTACCAGAGAGGGAAAAGACAAGCCTTACCGGGGGCCTTGATGAGAGTTAGACAGGGGGACGCTCTCCTCACTGCATTCTCTGGCGGCAATCTATCGTCTTTCTCGTTTCCATTTGGCTCAAAGGTTTTTGCCTCTAGCTGACCTGTTTTTTTCACTGCCGTCCGAGGGCCGTCTGAGTTTGCAGGGTTGATTTTTGTCTCTAGTGGAAGCCCAAAGCTTAATTTCCTGGCAACTGGTTGTGTCACATCAACCTCACGCGTTGTAGAATGTCCAAACACATTGCCGTAGCAGCTCTGTGGTCTTTGTGGCCTGTCCGATCTCCGTCCAACAGCCCTTAGAGAAACCTCTGAGGTAGCAGGGGCTGCTATAGCAGGGGGGTTGCTCACGAATAGACTCAGAGTCGATCTGTGCAGAGTTCCACCGTTTTTCTCTGGTTCTGAAGTGGACGTGTCTTGTGCTACAGTAGAGTTTAGCGTCTTTGTTGAATCCAGTTGGGGATACGAAGGTGTGGCATTGTGCTTTGAATGGTTTTCCTGACTCCACATGCTGTTTTCTTTGTACAGTCCGTCTGTGTAGCTGTGTCTAAACTCAGGGTTCCTTGCCCCTACTTTGCCTCGAGTATAGCTCTCCCTGTGCTCTGTCACTTTAATGATTGTAGCCTTTCGTCTTTGGACCACTGTGTCCAAAGCCTGGCTAGCGGGTGGTGTCTTTGCATTTTTGGCAGGGCCAGAAACCATCCTTTGCTCCGTCACTTTGACTATCGTGGCCTTCCTCTGCACGGTTACCTGCCTGGAGTTTGGGTCCATGGATTTGTCAGATAGAGGAGGGGAATAGTGAGATTTGGGCGGGTTCTCGCGGGTATCCGACCCTGGCAAACTGGCCGATCTGCACACCTTCCTGGAGGAGAGGGTGATGGAAGAGAAGCTGGCTTTGCTCTGAGGGACGATTTCAGTCACACTAGAGCCACTGTTTGTTGTACAAAGCCTTGCTGTTGCCTTAAAGGGCTGACCACTACTTGTCCTATGCAAAGGAGAACATGACTTGTATGGCTCTGTACTGTTTGACGCTTGCAGCAGAGTCGGTGGTTTGCAGAGATCAGCAGCGGTTGTTCGACACAGAGGAGTTTGCTTGAAGCGCTCTGTGCTGTTTGTTTTAATCAGAGGAGACCTCCCACTGGGGTCCGAGCTGGTCTCTGTGGACTGACTTCCCCCGGGGAAAGCTGAAACCCTGTTGGTATTCCAGCCTCTCCTCAGAGCTGGCCAGCCTACAGATCTGTTGACTTCGTTGGTGGGAAAGCTTTGCTTCTCTGGCACCTGGATAAAAGAGATTCTATATGATAAATATCCTTAATCACACATGAAATCCCGGCCCCCGCCCTCCTGTTGATTCTAAAGTCTCTTGGTGAATGTTTTGTCATTAATCATCACAATGCCGCACATTAATCTTTCCTATACAAGCCCCTGTTTCCAAGGAGAAAAAAATGAGCAAAAACATGATTCAATACAACACTGACAGAATGACATCTCTCTAATAGTTCATTTCAACAGCAGGTCAGCTGTCTTGTCTTCCTTCAGGGCTTTAGTGTTTGTTCTCTTTAGTCAGATGACTCTTCCCATGCTTGACATAGCAAATGTCCCAGTAGCGATGAGAGTTGCAGCAGCAGGCAAAGCCAGCATACAGCATGACTTATCCCTCACAGAATCACAATGAGACTCTATCCTTGATAGAAACGATGCAAAAAAAGCGTCCTCGAGTTAGAGGATACTGATGGTGTTTATGGAGCATGGAGAAATGCTCATACATTATGTCCTTGATGCCAGCAGGTTTATGAAGTGAAAAAAAACCCTCCTGATCTTCTTTATATGTATGTGACATAATTGAATGTGTGAAATCTAAACATGAATGAGATTAAGCTATTTGTTTAGCTACTGTTAATTTTTTTGACATTTCAACAAGGTGGGACCCTTCAAATTTCACAAATCCACAGTAAAAAAAGACAAAAGCATAAGGGTCATGACACTAAGGCTTAGAGAGGCAATTAAGTTTGCAGGCAATTTAGTCCTGTTAAACCTGTTTAATCTTGTGTACGGCAACAACGAGACAGTTTGTCTTCTGTACAAAACGTCTGATTCTGCATTGCCTTGGGTAAATTCTGCAGCATGGCCGAGAGCAAACAGACCTTGACATCGATGATGATAATGTTCCGCAAAGCAAAGAAGTCTGACATCAGTCAGCTGTCTTTGTGTAGCTCATAAGTAAACTCTTTCATTATTTCAGGGACGGTTTCTGCATCCTGATGAGGTACGGCTTAAAGAGGCTTTGACCTGTAATCTTCCTTCGCTGATTTGTTAAGCCACTCTTGAAAGTTTGAACAGAACATCTCTTACTTTTCTCTCGAAACAAAAACTTCTCAATCTGATATCTTTTTCATCCTTGATCCCTTGGACTGCTTTTAGACGATTGATAGACTGTGTATAATAAGTGGATGTAGCCTGATGGATTCTAAAGTAAAGTGACAGTAAATTTGCCTTAAAACTGTCTTTATGTAATAACCAACAGGGGGCGACTCCAATCGTTGCAAAAAGATGTCTGATCGTGTAGAAGTTGATGAGAAATTTTCACCTGATGTGTTACCTCATGACACTTCCCTAATGTCATACATAACATAAACAGAGCTACCCTGGCAGCCTGTCAAACATGATAGAGACATAACAATGCATATCAACCAGAGAGCAAGAAAACTGCAACTACATTTAGAGAACGAACAACATTCTTCTACCAAATGTACAAACATTTAAATTGTTTCTTGTAAAAAGTGCTTTCTAAACGCAGTGTTGATAAATGACACCCTTTGTTTGCAGTGTGTGAGTATACTGCAAAGCCAACTCTGCAAACCTGAATATATCTTGTTTAGGAAATGCAAACACTGGCCGAAGCATCAAAATGCATAATGATTTACCTCACTGTTTAATCAAATGTACTATGCACCCATCAACACATACAAACCTAAGTACATTGTAATATATATCCAAAAACATCATACTAAAGGTGCTTTGAGTTACCTGTTTAATTAAGTGATAGCCTTGATCAGGTGTCTGCCACGTCTTCACACCCCAAGCACTGGGACTGCTGTGACTTCTCTCCACCTCTCCATCTATGTGTTGAGGCAAAACAAATGATCCAATGTCACAAGACTGACAACACACACCCCCTCCCCTTTCTCTTTCATTCTCTCTTTTACTTTAACACACACACACACAGAAACAAGTCATGCATTCCTGTGACTGCGCGGCAATGTTGACACTGTCAATAATTGACGATGACACAGTAAAGTGAGTGTCGCACCGCCCCCGGAGCCACTTCTCCGCTGCCTCAGGAGACGCAGCAACTTGACTTGGTCTGCCTCTCAGCCCTGACTGAGACTCTGTTCTGCCACCCCGACTGCTTGCCTGCCTGGTCGCATTTCCACCTGCTGCCGTTACCATGGCGACTGGCTTTTACTTCAGGATAACCCTCAAATGCCATGTGGATTCCCCCCCCACACACACTTTTTTATTTTATTTCAAAGCAGAAACCAAGAAACAAGGTGAAAATTGCTCCATTTTGCAAATATGCTAAAAGCTGATAAACACTCCTGTCATCTCTATACATCTAATTTCTTTCTGTAAAAGGCCCCACAACGACTTAAGCCCCCCCCTCCCAATAAGAGCTTCTCTCATTACCTCCACTAACAGAGCTCAAATGACCACTTTTTTTCTGAATCAACAGCAGGTTAATATCCCAGAGGAAAATAAAGAAGCAAGACCATATGGCAAACACCCCCTGATGTCCCCACCCTCCCAATTTCTTCCTCTTCCTCGTGAGTTTTATTTCAATAGTGAGCTTGAGCTGGATGGAAATTGATCATCCCGTCTAAACATGAACCCTTGAAGCAGAAGAACCAATTTATTATCATTTGCTCATTAACATAAGGCCATTTTAAGTTTATTATAAGTGACTTTAATAGAGGGAGAGGGCACTGAGTGTCTGCACCGAGACCTCGAGTCTGATTAAAACTGGTACTTTCGCAAGGCTTGTCGGCAACAACCAGAAAGAGAGAGAGAAAAGAATGAGAAAAGGTGGAGTAATTTGCTAGCTGGAGTTTAACCAAGTCAATTATTTTTCGCAAAACTGCAGTTGGAATTTCTGATAGTGTCATCTGGTTCCAGATGGGGAATTGTTTAGTTAAAAGTACTGAGAAAAAACAACTATAGCATCAAAACAAGATGCACTTGGATGATTTTCTGCAAGGAGATTTGTTTTTTCTTCTCGGTAGCTTTCTTAAATTCAATGTTTGGATTTCATCCATGTAAAATTTGTGTACGTGCACCTGCATATTTTCACTATTCACTGCAAAGTGAATAGGAATCTGAATATTTATAGCCTATTTGACTGGCTAGAAAGGAATGTGTTATTGTTCTTCTTTCAGGCAATATTTTCTGTCAAATAGGAAGGAACAAATTGATCTTTCTTAATTTATTCTTCTTCTCAATGGTTGAACAGATTTTATCATTCAAACAAAATATTGCTTGTAAGACGTGGTTTAAAAAAAGGAAATCTTGCCAACATTAAACACCATATTGGAATGACACCAACAAGTGACAGTCTATGAATTATACTTTGACTTTCAACACAGCCTGTGTATGTAACTAACAATGTGTAAAAGTGTGCAAAAATGTAGTGCTTTGTAAAATTGTACTTTGTCTCCCCTTGTGTCTCTGTCTGTAACTTTGTGTTTTTGCTGCTCTCGCTTTAAAAAGAGGTTCTTCTGATCAATGGGACCAACCTGCATGGTTTAATAAAGGTTAAATACAAAATAAAATAAAAAAGTTATTTTTTGGGTTTGCAGTTCTTATAACATCTGTTCTTTCTATCACAGTTCCAGTCGCTGCCATGGATAGATTACTTTGACTTCTGCAAGCTGCCCGAGCCCTGCCAGAATAATCTATGTGTAAACAAGGACGAGGATGAAAGATCAAACCTCAGATCAAACCCAGAGAGTGTAGAGCTGACATGTTCAAAGATTAAAAGGCCTCCTTCTCAGATCAGTCTACATCTCTCCTTATCTTTCCGCCTCCAAAATCTCTTATTTGTTACACTTTCACATTTAATAATACCATTTCCTTTAGCTGAAATCCATCCTGAATACAACTTTCCAACAAAAAAAGGCCAGTTTAACACAAATTGACTTTGCCTGTTAGGAGGGGGTTTGTTTAGATTCATCATTCAGTCAGTATAATGTGTGTTAAAGAGGACAGGGGCAATACAGCTGCGAGGAGCTGATTAGAGACAGGTAAAGGTGCGACTGAACTGAAATGAGCTCGTTATCCCTCTACCTAACCTAGACACCCGCAGTTACCCTGTGGCCATTTCTGCAAAACACTATACTGAAACAGAGCCTGTGTGTTTCATAACAGCTTCTGTTATGTATGATGGTTATTTCAGATTACAAAATTAGATTTGAAGTATCACTATGGGGCAGACCTGGGACTCTCTTACATAATGATCACACTTGCATAGTTGTGCATTTTTTTAAATTATTAGTTTTTAAACTAAAGTGATATAAAAAAAAAAAACAGCTGTGAAGTGAATATCAACTAATAAAACAAATTCCATTCCTTCATACCTGTAGGTTGGATGGCAGGTGCCTGATTCTTCTGAATTGTTGGAGTGATGGGTTGTTTCAATTTTACCTGTAAAATAATTTACAACAGAAGATGATCAATACATATTTAATTATACATTTTTTTAAATGTTTGTAAAGTAGCCTAACTTTGACGCTAATGCTAGTAGCAGGTTAGCTTAGCTTCTCAAATGGCTGAAAACATTGGCCTAAGCTTACATGGGGAAAGGCATACCAAAACCATCAGGGCAAAAAAAAGAGAAGAAATTACAGTTTAAGTGAGGAGATTGTTTATTATTGTTGAATATAAAAATTATACATGAAACTCAGGTGTTTGTACGGTAAATGGGAAATTAAGCGACAAGCAGTTGGTTAGCTGGCTTTCCAAATGCTTGTACAGTGGACAAAATAGGTAAAAGCTAATGGGTTTTATTTCTCTCAACAAGTTTACCTGGTTCAATCAAAAAATTAAATAAGATCACGATCATGTTTGGAAGGTAAAATTGAAGTGAACACTACTCCAGCAGTCAGTTAGCTTAGCTTCATTACAATGTTTAAAAGGCTAGCCCGTGTCTGTCCAAAGGTAACGAAATATATCAACACAATTAAGGCTTTCTTATCAATATGTAACATCTTGTTTGATCAAATTGATGTTGTCATGCGTTTTTGCAGACAGTTAGTATTTTATTACTACCAAACTTATTTTGTATGTTAGCCTACATATCAAGCTAACACCATCTGCAGCAGCCATTTAGGTGAGCTTCTTTGGAAGACTTAAAGGCAGCCTGTGTCTAGCCTAACAAAACAAAACAACACCCTCATCGCTACTCAACATGTTCTTTAAGTCAAAATTATTTTTGTTTTGTTTTTGCTGAGGGGACTGATACCATATGCAAGATAAATAGCAGGCTAATGCTACTGCGCGGGAACTGGTTAGCCTAATGTATTACTGAGCTCCCCGAATGTTTCCTCTTTGTGCTGTTTTAGGCTGGCTAAGCTAATCAGCTGCTGGATACTTATACACAGTAGTGGAAACAATCTTATCCAATTCTGCAGAGAGAAAAGAATCAATGTAATTCCCCATTCCCTTTCTGGAACTACTTTATCTGCAATATCTCTCTGAACAAGAACTCAAAACATTAGATCGACTTTCGATTTAGTAACTATTAGGAAAGTCCTGAATTGTTGACAATGACTCCACAAAATAGTCAAGTTAAAGGTCCCTGGAGATATGCTCTGTGTATCTTTTCTGTCAAACGTCTAATACAGCAAAGCAACTTATCGATTTTGATTTACACATCATCAGTTCAATGGGTTATACTTTGTTCATACAGTGCATTGCATTCTCTCAGGGCACAACTCTCAGTTTCTGCCACCACAGATTCAAATTAGCATAAACCTTCGGAGAATGCAAAGAGCTCCTGCAGAATAAGATGTTTTCAAAGGATGCCAGAGCTCTGCCTTCTTCCTGGGTAACTGAGACTCGACTACAACTGTCTCACTGTGGCACTGTGTGTGTTGTAGCCTGCCCTGCCTGCCATGATGCACCATTACCTCCATAACACAACACTTTGCCTTTGGACTTGCAGAGCTTATACTGTCTCTCTAGCCTGTAAGATTTGCAGTCACACGGTCTGAAAGGGAGTCATTGCTAAATCCAGGGTAAAGCAATCCAGCTTCGTTGTAAAAGGTCTTTTTCTTATGAGATTGATACCATAAAGAACAGATACAAAGACTATAACTATAATCTTCCGCAAGAGAAAAACGCTTAGTGCTTCCAAAATACTGTAGATCTTTGTCTAGGTAGGCTAAAGGCCTAAGTGCCAAATAAAGTGAACTTAAATGTAAAAAAATATATATTTTGCATGTAGACTCAATAATCAAAACACTTATGTGGCTTGCCCGAGCTATCTGTTTAAATGTTTAGATTTTCTGCTGGAGGTTTGTTGTGTTTTGTGTGCTGTACCTGGCTAACAGAGGGGTCCGAAAACTGGTTTTGGTTGCGATTATCAGCAATTATCACTCTTCTTTGGATTGGCAGCCAACCAATTTTAACCGGAGAAATAGAACTGAGTTGTGCCTGTTCCTTCTTTGGGGACTGCATGATATGAGCTCTCTCCCAGCTACCTCTGCGCTCCGGACGGGAAAAAAACCCAGTTTGGAGGGACTCCTGGCTGCCAAGTGAACTCTCACACAGACTTTGGCTTCCGCATGAAGATGAACCCCTGCTGAAAGAAGGAATCCAGGCACGTGTTGACGTCTCTTTGTTGAGTGCAGGCATGGAAGTCGTCCGGTCATTGAAGACAGGAACTTGATCATGAACTGGGGCTCTCCGGAGGTCGCTCTGCATCCTCTGGAGGTGCTCCAGCCATCCGTCCAGGTTACCACCTTCAATGGCACTCTGGGGCCGAGCTGCGCGTGGGAATCGAGAATCCCGGGGCGAAACCTCTTCCTCTGTTATGAAGCGCTCCCAGGACGACTCATCTCCTGATTTCCTCCAACTCGGAGCTCTTCGTAGGTGGGCAGCTGGCCTGCGGAAAGTCATCTCTCTGGAGCTCGGGTAACCGGTCATAGTTCTCAAGTTTCAGCCCACGATAAAAGCTCTTTAACACTGGAGCTATCAATGAAAATCCCCTGGCTCATATGGACGTCTTACTATAAGGCATGCTAGAAATGCACTCCAAGGAATAAGTAGCTACAAGAATGCTGGAGGTCATATTTGCTATGGATCTGTTACAAGAAAGCATCAGAGTACAGTTAGAGATGACAAATAAGTGCAAATTATTCTAGACCATAAGACAAAGCACAACTTCCTGCTTCCATTTAACCACTTTAAGTGCTGCTGACACTTTAACTTACCAGTTGCTGAAAAAACCCCATCCTTTTTCAATTTCTTTCAATTCCCACCCTCCTCTCTTTAGAGAGTAAACACTCTCTGTCTTGATATAAACTAGGTGCTAGTGGGTACTGTCTCCAGTCAGGCATGAAGCAATGTGAGAGATGCTTTGGTGAACAAAAGAGTTACTCAGCACAAGCCTCAACATCCAATACAGAGAGGGAGATGGAAGGAGACAGCGGGGTGGGCGGGTTGAAGAGAAAAAACAAACACTTGTGGATGCAGTGCTTGACGCAACAAGATCTCCATTTAGACAAAGAACACATTAACATTCAGAGTCTTAATAATCACAGCGTCTAATTTTGGGGTTAAGGCGAATCAGACGTGCCATGCAGAGTTTTAAAGACCAAATCAAACGTCCTGATATTTAAGCACTGGAAGAATGATCAAGCATTACTAACAAAGAGTTTATCCATGCTTTTTCCATGAGTCACTTACCCCTTCAGAAATCATCTTTGCTTAATTCCTCCAGTTTCTCCTGCTGTGATCTCGTGGTTGGTGGCTGATGAGGAATTGCTATGCCCTCAAGACTCGGCCAAAGCCATGTGACTTCTGCAAGGCCTTCCTAAAAAAATGGGCCAGTGTCCTCTTGGATAACTAACTGTGACCCACATGATGTCCCAGAGAGCATGAGTGAAGGGAATTCACAAGACAGAAGAAAATAGCCTCTGGCTGGAAGACTGATTTTGCTTCAGATTTGAAGTTAAACACAAATCTGCAAAGAGACAACTTCTTTCATAGCAGAATTGGTGGATGCTCTGATGTTTAATGAATTTTAGTGTTTCTCAGTGGATCAAAAGTCCCCAGATGTCTTACTTTCAAAGCAACTTCAGTCCCACTCTGTGAAATAACATTTTCCGATTTTCCGATTTTATCTCTGGGATAAGACAGAGATATTTTAAATATCAGCTGCTGTGACCTGCTTTAAGACACCCCATCAAGCTGAGAAGCTACATACTCAAGGAATATGAAATGGTGTTGAGCAAATTGTTGCCTTTTGTTAGCTCTGCCTGAGAGATAACATCAAAACAAATCATAGACCCAATTGAGCAAGGACAGCTTTACAAAAGCGTTCAAACGATATACTGGCGCTTTTTATATGGGAATAAATATGGAAGCAACAGCGCCCTCTACTGGCAAGACTATAACATAACAAGTGGAGGAAGTTTAGGCAAATCAGGCCATTAGGTCATCAGTTTTTCATACCTAAAAGATGGGAGGGACTTGCTGTACACAATTATTTTACAAATCAGATAAATAAAGACGAGCAGAGTCAAGCATGTGCACCAGTTGAATTCCTTTAATATTTTTCATTGAGACTCTGTGGCTCAGAGGAACAGCTTTTATTATCTCTCCACATCACTGCTCAGATTGACATGCTCGCTTGGGCTGAAAAAAATAGGAAAGGCACATACACCTTATGATTGCTAATTCTGTGGCTGAAGGCTGGGATGAAACTTTCAAGGGAGGGGCCCAAATGTAATAAGTTGTTTATGATGCTCCTTCTTTTTTTTTTTTTTTTGCACTGTAACAGCTGGATAAAGCTCTATTGAAAATGACTGTAGGTTTATTTCCAGTGAATTTCTCCGGCCACCACTGTGAAGGATTTCTGAGGACCACTGCATCACAATAATTGAAAAACAATAAATTCAAAGCAGTACTGTTCAATTAAAAAAAATAGAAGTATTAAAATAAGTTAACATGCTTTCTTACAGCAGGGTTATGTCATAGCTCCTTTGTTGTTCAAAACAATTCAAATAACACTCTATTATGCTTGTATAGAAATGTTATATATTTTCCAAATATAAGATCTTATGGTACTTGGATTTTTTTTTCTCCAAAAAATAACCTTGCACTTTCATGTAGCCTAAATAAAAACACTGACTTCAATTAAAGCATGAATTAATAACTAAATAAAATTAAAAAAAAAATCAATTTAATTTATCGTATGCCAACTTACTTTTTGATCACTATATCCATACTCTGCCTCTTCCATATCCGTGTGTTATGCTGTTAGATTTTACTTTATTTATAGCCTACTTTCTATGTTCATACTTCAAATTCTATGGAACATGTAGTTTCTTTTTTAGATTTTTTTTTTTTTTTTTATTGATTTATATTTTTTTTACAACAACCACATCGTGACAGATTGAAATCAAACCGTAAAATTTACCACAAAAATTCAAATTAGAGAAAAGCAAAAACTTCTTTCACAAAGTTTAAAAAAAAAAAAAAAGTAAGTAAAGTAACACAGTCTAGCCTGCAGAATAATGCAAAAGGAAGTAACCACATATTAGCCCTGTCGTCTCAGTGTGAAACAGCAGTGAGAGTTAAGCAGGACGTTTGACTTGCATGAACGCCTACAGGCAGAGAAAAAGTTGTGTTCCCTTCCTCCCCCCTTGCGGACCGTCCTGTCACTGGTGGAAAATGGCTGCTCGGAGTAGTGCCCCAAAGCTCAGAGAAAACTGAAAAAAAGAAAAAGAAAAAGAAGTCCACAATAAAACCAACAGGTCAAATCTGGACCTTTTCTAACCGGATAAACGACAACTCGGGGAAGTCTCGACACGGATAATGTCTCGCTGGGTGCCCACAAAAAAGGAAAAGTATGGTGTTGGTACGTAACAAAACTTGCATGCTCCATCGTTAGCTCAGCCTTTAGCTCTCTGTGCTCTCAGATTGCTCAAGTTTGGGAAAGGATTTTGATTCGTAAGCGACCGGCTTAATTGTTTTTCTCGTGTGGCTGTGGGACGAAAATGTGCGGCTCGAATTTGCCTAAACTGTGGGGAATGCAAATGTCGGAGGAATTTGCCTGCTAGTTTGCATGAAACGCAAAACAAGGAATGTGTGTCTATTGTGAGGAAGAGGATTGTGTGTGTGTGTGTGTGTGTGGATTGGGAATTGTTACAGGCGCGCCTAGTTGTAGCGCTTGTTTCCTGTGTTGTGGGGCCTCAACTTCTAAGTTACTCACTACTTCAGAGGCTACGCGCAACTTTTTAACTATTTATCGTGTTGTTTGTTTGCGTTCACCGCAAATGTCTCCAGCTCAGCGATAAGCCTTTTTTTTTTTTTTTTTTTTTTAGTTGTTGGGTAATTTATTTATGCTTTTATAGCCTGGCCTGAAAACACTGTCCCGGTTAGCTCCCACTCTCTCTCTCTCTCTCTCTCTCTCCTTCAAGGGATTATTCAACCACACTCAAATTACATCATCATAGAAAGGACAGGTAACTTCATTTTCAAGGGTTTAATTAGGAAAGTGCTTCTAGGCCAAAATATGCCTTTCTGTGACACTGTACTGTAAAAATACTGTCCTAAAACCAGTATTAGTAGGGCAATATATCGAGTTTTTAAGATATATCGATGTATTTTCAAACAAGATATAGGGAAAGACAATATCGTTAATATCGATATAGTTTAAGTTGCTTTAAAATAACATTACAGAGGTGTCAGGTCACCTTTTTCTTATCTCACTCATAATGACTGACTGTCTCTCTTAACCCTGCTCCTCCCCTCTCTCTCTCTCTCTCTCTCTCTCTCTTTTATTGTATTTAAGGAACATTTGTATTTTATAATATTACTTTTTACATTCACAAACAGGTAGTTTATTTTTCCATGTGTTTTTCACTGTTAATAAAATACATATTGATATATGTCGAGTGTCGCCATTCAGTGAAAAAAAAAATCAAGATATGAGTTTTGGTCCGTATCGCCCCCAGGCCTAGTGGGAACGTATGTTTTATTTTTTTGGGCATGTTATCATCACATATCTCATTTATCAGCCGCTTGTCTGTAGGCTACACTTATCGCACAGTTTGTTCATGTTTTTATCAAGTACACTTTTCACATTCTGATATTGAGGAAGTGAACAAATATAGCCTATTAAACTACTTTTTTTTTTTTTACATTTTGTTTTTCTATGTAACAGTTTTGGGATTTGTTGTTTGAATTCTTACCCCCATTTTATAGATGGATTGTAAAACTCATTCTGATTTACTCAAAGTGGTGCATAGTTAAAAAAAAAAAAAAAAAATGCTTAAGAGAATGGCTTGATAGAGCTAATCCTGATTTCTTTCAGGGGATCATTTGGAACATCCCAGTCCTGATCACTCAGCAATTTAAGGAAATTACACTTTTTTTTTTTTTTTTTAACAATTTGGTGTCATGACAGTGAATTATAATTTTAAATGTGCATGATGTAATCCACAACACGAGTCCCTTTTTCAGCTGTGTGTCCATTAGTCGGACTGAGGGATGCTGACGCTGAGTGATGGAAGAGTTCAGCGGGTTATACCAAAGCTCTGGCTGGCGTCTTGCACTGCAGTGCTAAAATGAGCTCTGGTGTTTTCAAGAGCGGGCCGGTCTATGTGGACCTGTTATCGTGTTGACGCTTGAGCGGGGGGTGGGGGGGGGGTGGCTATGGCTTATATTAGTGTGAAAAGTATACTTTATTCATGCTAACGATTGCATCAGTCCACTCTTGAATACCCTTTAGATCTTGACGTTCTTCAAAAAAAAAGTCTCTGCGAAAAATTCCCACGGGGCTCCCTGAATTCAGAGTGGGTGAGTCATTAGCAGAAAGAGAGTCAGCTGCCACATCGCTGCTGCAGAGTGGTGGTCGGGTGCTGCTACATCTATTGCACTTTTAATACTTCACGTGTTGACCAAAACCTGCTAATGAGCACTCTCTGAGATCTGTCATACTGGCAGCACTCACCGTGGGCCCATTTCAATTTCAGCCAGACTTTCGTCATAACCTTCACCGCGCTCATAATGGACCCATGGCTTTATTAGAGTATGCAGTGAAGAAAAGCCGTCTGCTTTAGTCTTTACACAGCAGTGTTAATAATACATGCTGCTGTTTCCTTACCTAGAAAATAGCTGTGATAATACAGAGGGTTGTTAGCACTGTGGTATGACCTGATCATTGTTGAAGCAAGGTTTTGTAATGGTTTTGCACCGTTACCAGTATTGTGAGTTCACCCATAGTACTCGTGGGACTATATCAGATGAGTTCTTGAATTAACCCTCAGATGAGTTGCAGATACTATGTCATCTTTGAAATGTATTGTTTTCTTGGCGCTAAAGGCTTCATGGTGCGGTGATTGTTTGTTTGGCGCTG